CCCGTTCCACAGTCCACCACACAGGCCGGCAGCCGTCCCGCCATCTTCGCCCTCGCCCGCCGCTGCCGCCGCCGCCGCCGTGTGCTCCGTGCTGCTTGGGGCCAGGAACCAGCAGCAGGAGATGGGAGCTATCTGACCATCCACAGCTGGGCTGGGCTGTGTCCCGGGGGGAGCTGGCAAGCCGAAGCGATAGCCAGAAAGCAGCAGGCTGGCTCAGCGGCTACCACTTCCGCAACCGGGCGGGCAGGCAGTCCCCGCCCTGCCCCGCCGCGGCCTCCTCCCCCTCTCTTCCCTCCTCTCCCTCTTGCCCCCACCCTACAACTTCTTCCCCTCACGCCGCCTTCCCCGGAAAGCCAAGATGGCCGCCGGTGCCTACGCCCGGCCAGGCCTGGCCCAGGCGGCCGCGCTCCCGCTTCCGGCTCCGCGCGGGCGGGGTGGGGCGGGGCGCATGCGCACAGCGGCGCGGCCGCCGGGCGCGCGCCCGTCTGACGCTCGGGGTCCGCGCGGGTTTGGCGCTCTGAGAGCAGCGGAGACGAACCCGTGGCTTCCAGTGGTGCTTCTGAGGCTAGAAGGGGTTCTGTGTTCTGTTCGTAGGCTCCGACGCTTCGGTGCTAGTGAAAAGGGTCGAATGGGGAGAAAAGGCGCGGCCATTCTCGTAGCTCGGGCGGCTCTCGCTGGGGCAGAGCCGCGGCCGCCGGCCGAGCGTCGCGCAGCGGGTCGGGAGCGCCGGCCGCCTGCCCGGACCTCGTCTGCCGGGTGCGCCTTCATCTCGGCCTTCGGAGGAGGGTGACCGAGGCTTCTCTGCAGTAGGAAGGCTCGAAGGCCGGAGTAGTTCGCGGCGAAAAGTGAATTTAAAAAATTACAACCTTGGCTAAATGGAGCACATCTCTGTGGTTAATGGTTAATGGCCTGTAGTAGGGCCTGAGAATTTACCTTTTTAACAAGTTCCTAGTTTCCCAGTTTGGAAACGTGCAAGGTTAATACCTTTCCACCAGGCTTCTCTTCGGTTAAGCCTTCCTGGGCTTGTTGATATGAGACTAATAAAAATATTAGTGTTTTATTCAGTACAGGGGATCACATAATCTGTTAAACTCATCTGGGAGGGCTGCAATACGGATTTATTTTCATTCATTTATTTGCCAGAGAGGTATGACTGACCTACTCTGTTGAGTGTTGGCCAGGACTGTTCAGGGTCGTGTGAAATAGATGAGGACTATGCTCCCAGGGTTTACAGATTAACGGAGAAACAGACTTTCTATAAAGAACAATAGAATAAAGAATGCAGACGACTGGAAATGGGAGTAGGAAGAGAGTGGAAAGGAGGTTGAAGACTGGGGAAGTTTGCCTGCCCAAGGGGCATTTCAAAGCTAAGGCCTACAGATGACAGGTGAAAGGAGTATTGAGAAAAAGTCTGTCCAGGAGGAAGCCACTGGCGTGGAGGATCCCAAGTGGGCAAAGCATCTACAAATTGGAAGACCTTCTGAGTAATTAAAAGAGTTGAGCCTGGGAAGATGCAGTGGGAAGTGCGGCCAAGAAACAAAGAATCAAACAGCGCAGGAATTTGTAAACTGCTGTAAAAGCAACTTGATGCCATTAAAAGAATTTAGTTTTTAAAAAATACTGTGGCTGCTTTGAGAAGAGATTCTGCAGAATCTCAGAGTTCGTTATACCTTGTGTGCTAGAGTGCAGGACTAGGATGGCGTGCAGACCAGCATCCATATGGATCAGGTTTATTCCGAAGAGACACTAAGGAGAGGTCGTTGTCACCGGGTGCCCAGCACATCCATAGCCTAACGTGCTATGTAATCTTTATAGTTTTTCTCAGAGATTGGCTTCAAAGTCAAACAAGTGGTTCTTTCAAAAACATCGCTGTTGGTTTTTGCCTCACATTTTAGAAGATGGTAGATTATTTGCTGCACTTAGGGTCTCTGCTAATGGGGAAGCATATGCTTCAATTTTCACCAACTAGAAGTGGTTTAATAAAGTCAGAAGTGAAAGATCCTACTAAAGGGATCTCAAGGATAGTGGTAGGAGTTACAGTCTTAAATCGCAGGGGCAGCAGTGCCTGTAGCCCTCAAAATGACTGCCCACACTCTGGTCTTGGGTGGTTAGCAGTAGGGTCAGAAACTTGCGTGGCTCCAGGTCCAGGGATCAAGTGGACATGAGGAGGGTATGGCGATGCGGAGAGCCCGCACTCTGGTAGAAAGTAGTAGGCTACTGTTGCTGTGTGGAAAGCAGGCCTGATATTGTCAGAACCTTTTGTTTATTGCGGTTTTTCCTTCCCCTGGACAAATCTGAACTCTGTATTTTTATCTTTAATAACTGAATGATTTAGATGTGTCCCTCAAAGTTGTTGGATATGTAATCCCTGATGCAACAGTGTTGAAAGATAGGACCTTTAAGGAAGTGATTAGGCCTTTTGGGCTCTGCCCTCATGAATGGTTTAATGCTATTATCTTGGGACTGGGTTGCTTGTAAGAGGATGTCTGGTCTTCTTCCCATTCTAGCATCAATAGGGTATCTCCTGTCATGTTATGATGAAGCAACAATGCCAGTCCCTGGACCTTAGCCTTCCCAGCCTCCAATATTGTGATAAATAACCGTTCTTTGTAAGTTACTCAGTCTCAAAAAAAAAAAAGCTACAGACTCAGTCTGTGGCATTATGTTATGGCAGTACAAAACAGACTAAATCTTTTCTACAGTCTTATCTGGCCTATGAACAGCTATTTTGTTATTTAATTTTAGAGACTATATATGGTTGAGCTGTCTGTTGCCTTCAAATAGGAAGTCATGAACTATCTCATTCCAAAGGCGTGAGAAAACCTATTGTAGTCTCTTTCACATACAGAAGGTGGCCTGTGTTTGCAAACATGGTAAACTTATTGGAAATGTCTAATGCTTGCTGGAAAGGTTATTTGTACTCATTCCTCATAGTCTGTCTACCAAAACACTTTGCTTGCTTAAGATCCCCTCTACTTCCTGTTTGCTACATACCAAATTGGTCAGCCTCTGTGCTCCTGTGGTGTCCTAGCCTTCTTAGCTGCACAGGGCTTTCAGATACACATGCAACCCAAGTATTTTTGACCAGCAGTTTGCATATGCACCCCTCCTGCCCACTTTTCTCCAAGCATAGTAGCAGAGAATGTCAAGAGTTATAAGATCACTTACAGATTATATTGCTAGAAAAAAATAAAAAAGGAAAGCAGTAGTGAGTGGATAGGGCTTATCTAACTGCTCTACATTCATTTTCCCTAATATCATCGCAGCATCCTTTTAGCTCCAGTTATCTGGATGTTTGGTTCTTGTCTGTCTCCAAGTCTGGTTCCCAACCTTGCAAGTATCTGTGAGTCTTGCAGTATCCTTCCAGCAGATCCGCTGTGGCTTCAGTTCACCATAGCAAGTTCCCACAATTGAGGTCAAATTTAGGAACTTTGAAGTAATACAGAAGCCCAGAGAGTTTTAAAATGTTCCCAGTATCTTAAGCTAAGAAACAGAGTCCAGACCTAAACCCAATTTTGCCACCTTTTCTGAACTTTTTAATTATACCACAGTATTGTTTTGGTAAACATACTGGTTACCATAAGATTCCATAGGTTATTCTTGTGTTTTTAACTAATTTAGCAGATGTCTTTGATCTCTGTCCAAGAAAATTATGTCACTGAATCTCCATGTTATGGTTTGTGTCTAATTGTCCCCCCAAAGCCTCATGCAGTCATGAGGTGGCTTCTAGTGTTTGTGATTGATCCTTGATCCAATGCTGGGATTATGGGTATGAGTGCCCTGGGGCAGATACTGTCCATACAACGGTAAAGGAGGGGAAAGAGGCCAGCTAGCAGCCACAGTTGCTGCTTCTGCATTTGCTCTTACTCTTTGTTGCCCACCATGAGCTGCTGCTCTCTGCCATGTACCACTCCGCCTTGGAGCCAGCCTAATATGGACTGAAATCTCCAGTAACTGAGCTAAATAAACTTTCCGTTTCAGGTGTTGGGTATTTTGTCCCAGTAACAAGAGAAGAGTAACTGAAACACTCCATTATTTTAAAATGAAAAATGTTAATCCATTGTTAGGTCCCTACACTAGGGATGAATATTTGCAAATTAGCAGATCATTGATTAAAAGCAAGTAAGTAACTGGTGGAGATGTTCGTGCAGGGCGCTGAGCCTGGTGGTGCAGGCCAGTAATCCCAGCACTCTGGGATGCTAAGCAAGAGGAGCTAAAGCTCAGATCCCCAGGCTGGGTCTCTTAGCAACTTGATGAGACCCAGTCACAAAAAGAAAAATGGGTGGGAAGGAGGAAAAAAAGAGAGAGAGAGATTTTGAACCCCAATGATCAGAGAAAGTTTCTGAGAATTTTTTTTTTATTTAGGACAGAGTCTACAGGGTCACACTGCGTAGATTGGACTCATAGTGATTCTTCTGTTTGCAGCCTCCCATGTGCTGGGATTACAAGCGCATGCCACCACGCCCAGTCTCAATTGCTGTCTCAGCGCACCTGGGGCACCTAGTGCAGGGCCGGCAAGGCAGGCCTGGGGATCAAACTCCCAGCCCCTGTGTCTGCCTAAGCAAGCAGTGTAATCCACTGAACTGTTTGGCCAGCCCACTGCTGAGAATCTTGACTTCTGCCTTCCCAGGGTTGGTTTTTTTTTTGTTTTTTTTTTTAATCTTAGCTTGGTGTAGAGTGCTGATCTAGAAGTCAAGGAACTTGAATATGAACTCTCCCACTTAACTGTGCTTCATCAGCTGTAAAATGCACAGGAACACTTACTGCATTGTAAAGTTTAAGTTTTTTAAAACATACTATAAATTATAGAATGACCTTATGGGCAAATCAAAATAAATATACTTTATTATTTTTTGCTCATTGCTTACACATACAGACTTAAACATCTAAAATCTTGTCTTTTACAGATGTTGTCTTGGGGCTCTGGGCTTATTTTTTTGCTTCCACTGTGCCAAATATTGTTAGAAGCTCTCCTCCACACTCATCTTCCTTGAATTCCTTTAAATACTTTCATTCATGGCAAATCTTAGTCCTTTGTGAGTAGATCTGGTTTTTAGAATTGGCCGAAATCATTTCTTAAGAACGATGCAGAGTACATAAAATGGCTGGTCAACTGGGGCCATTTTTTTTTTTTTGGGGGGGGGGGCAGAACCGGGGATTGAACTCAGGCCCTTGCGCTTGCCAGGGAAGCGCTTATTCCACTGAGCCATCTCCCCAGCCCCAAACATCTTGGGGAGGCCCAGCTCTTGCAGTTCTTTTTTTTGCACAACCAGGGATTGAACT